CCTTTTTAAACATTTGCCCTTTTGCAGTGTCAAGGTCAGAAAGGTTCATGTAAACTTCTGCTCGCTGGACTGTATTGTGGAAACAAGTGTATCGACTTCTACAGAACTTAAACAACGTTCAGCTGTTTGTCCTGGCCCGATGACGACTCAGCTAACCTAATGTGGTGTTTACCGTAAAAGCAAGTCATAGCACATGTCAGTGCTTGCAACACAGCTCTTGTGTGTTAAATAGTAGATACACTTGTTTCCAGGGAATGAAGGAGTGTAAATTCACAGTGTGCCAACACGTTTACTTCTGCAGATTGTTTTGTGATAGGTTGATCATATTGCTAGAAAGCTGTGAAATTGGAATGCGCTAACGATCCCCTTTAAGATGTGATTTATATATACAGAGAAATGTGTTGTATAATCACTGCCTTGCAGACACATTTCTCTGTACCCAGTGCATTTTCAAATAGCTTTAACCTCCCGTTTTGTTTGCCATGCAAAATTCTCACAGGCAGCTGCTCTCCTCCTACATCGTTTTAGCAAATCTTGGTTAGAGAGGTTTGGATTCTTATTTGAATTTTTCCGTGTAACTTTCCACCCACATCCTCCGCTAAAGACCTCGTGAAATTATCCTTGGAAAAGACAGGCGATTAATGTTTCCCATCATTTTAAGAGCTACATTTATTTTTGATATATGCTATAAACGTTCTGTTGTTTGTAATCAGCGACACTGTTTACAGTACTAATCACCCCCTCCCGCCCCTTTTTTGGTTAAATTTACAAAAAAGCAAAAAGAAAGAAAAAAGGCAGGACGTCTGTGGCTGACTAGCTCCACCTAGTGGTCAAACAAGGTCATTATTTACTGTTCCCATTGATAAAAAAAAAAGTTTCCACTTTTAAAGACATTGTGATCCTTTTACACCTGATATCTCACACAGTTCTGGCCCTTAATGGGCAAAATGGTTTAAAGGTTGTTGGCCTGGGACTGAAGCTAGAAACTAAAATAAAACTTATGAGCATCGCAGTGGTGAAACAGAAATGTAAACCTGTAATGGAGACTCTCAGAGGTCTTTATTTCCAGATAGTAATATCATGAGTGCACCAACTGAAGTTTGATCCATCTGAAAGTCTCGAGAACTTCAACATCAAGAGTAAACAAATGAATTAGTTTCATTTCGATATGAATCAAAACTGTCTAAACATTCATCAAAACACATTTGACATATTAGAAAGAAAACAGGTGTGATATTTATTGCTTAAGAGATTTATTCGATCACTTGTCATAAAAAACACAAACATTATTGAAATCTGCCAAAACCTTTTAAAACTTAAAATTAAATACATGACTTATCTGACAACTCAGTAATTAATTTTTCTGTTTAAGAATTCAAGTAAATAACTGATGTTTGGCATCTTAATCCAATAATAATAAGTGTTGTAAAGGCTCACCTTTCAGCACACTCACCTCACCAGATGCACCTTGTTTCTTTTCCTCACCGTTGATTGGGTGTGGGGCTTGCCCTTGATTGCACTCACCTGTCACCTGTTATATAAGGACCTCACTCACCTACACCTCTCTTTTTCTTCACTCCCACATGGGGCAGCAGCTGAGGTGAGTTTCTGTTTGAGGCTCCAGAGTTCATGCATTATTTTAACTTACTGACTTACTTAAATCACACTTTGTTTCCTTTCAGAGTTAGCAGTTCATGCGTGTCTGCACGTTTGCATTATGTCAGCAGCTCGGACACAAGCATTTTGTTTTATGTTGTACTGTATGTGACACATAAAATGTGTATTTTTAATTTGTATTTAAAATGAGAAAGTCTGTGGGGTCTGCTCTCTTGAGGTGGAGGCTGAGATAAGTAATAACTGGTCACCTGCTTCAACACTTCAGGTACAGGTGGCAATTTGACCAGATACTGTTTGTTTCATTCACGTTTGAATTTGTAAGTTGAACACTTGAAAGACCGGCATTCAAAAACAATTCTGACTGAAATTTCAAAAAACATTTACGCTTAAGATTACACTCCAAACTTTTTTTTTTGGTAAAGCTTATCTGGCTGGATCAGGTGACCCTGAATCATCCTTTAGCTGCTATAGGCTCAGACTGCTGCAGCACTTCTTCACTCATCTGTTGTCACATGTTTATAGAGCACTGCAGCATGTCTCTGATTAAAACTGGGTTATTATCTAGCATTTATATAATACTACCTTCTTTATATATTTAAGTAGTTTAGCCCAGTCTCTCTCAAACCAGGACACATTCACAGGATAACCCGGCCTCACAGGAGGACTGAGACATTACTTTAGAATTAATGACAGTATCTGTAACTACAGCTGAGAATCATGATGTGTCTGTTAAAAATGAATGTTCCCATGTTATGACTTGTGTGTTTTCATCATATGTCACAGCCACGGGTACACTGGTGGAAATTCACCAATCACAACACAAACACCTGAGAAAGAAAGAACCTTACAGCGAGCTCTAACTCTTATGTTTTTACACTGAAGCGCCAAACTCCTCACATTTGTTTTTTCAGATGTACATGAAGAACTCATCAGAGTGGCTGACATGGAGGTATTTGAGGACTAACGGTACCTGGGGGTACACACTGACTGTAAACTGGACACAGACGCTGTCTTCAAAAAAAGGGCAGAGCCAGCTTTTCCTACTGAGGCGGCTCAGGTCTTTCAATGTTTGTAGGAAAATGCTGACCATGCTCTATCACTCTGTGGTAGAGAGTGCTGTGTTCTTTGCAGCTGTGTGCTGGGGCAGTGGGGTGAAGACAGCTGATGCTGAACAAGCTGGCTGGTTC